CCAGCTCTGTCACAGTAGAGTTTCACCTCTGACTTGACGCTGCTGTGCCTGTGCAGCGCTTTGTGAGCTTGGAAAATGCCGGTAAATCCGAGAGTCAGCTGTGCCCGTGTGCTGGAGAGGACCCTCTCTGAAAGCGCTGGTGCGTGCACAGAGCTTAATGCAATGTTTCCAGTCAGTTCACTCTGCAGTACACATACTGCCTTCTGTCTTGTGTAAAGAAGCCTCAAAAGATTGTCACTGAAGTTTGCTGGTCAAGGCAAGTGGCAAACAAGTGACTTCTCGGGCATGACAATGAAGCAAGCTGGATATTGTATTTGCCTTCCCAGTTTGATGTGGCAACTTCACTGCAAAGACTGAGGGTGACAGGTTTTTGCCAGTTGACTCCCTTGGATGCTTTGGAGCCCACAAGCACCTGCTGAAATTGAGGCTTTTGAAACACCGTACAGGTGTCAACAAGTTTTTAAGTTCCTCTGGAATGCAGGGCAGAGGGAGAGGAAGCGATTAAAGCGGTGCACGGTGCTCAGCCCGGGGTTTCCTTCTTCTGAGAAGCTGGGAGTGAGGCAGATTAAATCTCTTAAGCAGCACTGGAAGAGAAGGAGTAGGTTTTATTCTTAACAAGCAAATATAATGCATGTATTTTCTGAGCAAATATTTTTCTATGCCACGTAACCAATTACCAAGTCACACATGTACAACCTTACCGGTGAAATAAAGGAAGTCTCACTGTTTGTCTTGTTAACTCGCTTCCCTGCAGCCACCCTGAGTCATGTGTTACTCTGGGTTGGCTGTGGGAGGGATGGGAGAGCATTTTACCATTGAGATTACCGTGCCAAAAGACTAACTAATTTCTGAGTCTCTTCCAAATGAGTTAATGTTGTAATAGTAGAGCATCAGGCTGAGAGAATTGGGATTGGGATTGTTCCCAATGTTTCTACTTTGAACATGGCAAAGAAGGAATTGTGCATTAACTTGTAGTAATGATCTAGAGTAATAATCTATAGAATGTGATGAAAGCTCTTTAACTGGATTTTTAAAACATAGGAATTGTACTCTACGGCTAACATAGCTTAGTGTGTCCGTATTAGAGCCCAGAACTTGTATGTGAGGCTATCACAGTATTTCTAAAGAGACTAGACAGAGCTGTATGCTGCAGAACTCTGGATCTGTGTCCATCTGGCTCAACAAGCATAAGGGCATAACTTACCTGATTGCCAAAACAGTAAAAAAATTATTTAAAGATAGTCACTGACTAAATTTCCTACCCCGGTGGCTACCCCAGTGTTTTCAGGTGGTGAAAATCTGCAAGTGGTTTTAAGCACTGCTTAGAAAAATGACTGATACCCTTAAATTTCAGGGATAGCAGATGTTCTTCTTGCTGTTTAAAAACACTTTGAGAACTTCTGTCATAGCCATGTATAAACAAGCTTATCTCATGTTGCAGCCTGTATACAGGGATTTTATCTTTTGGTGCAGTTAACCTTTGAAGAGTTGATTCTGGTAATATTTTAGATGTAAGGAACTTTTTTCTTGCTTTCTTTATCAAAAAAAATAATGAAATTCACCCAATCCAGACCATAAACAAGTAGAAGGTTTCATGATTCAAGGGGGGATATATCTTGTAAACGAGGATGGGATAGTCTTTAAACAGAACATGCCTGGAAATTATCTACTTGGAGGCTGAATAAAAAAACCTCAGCAGAATTCAGAGGGCCTGAATTGAGAGATTTTATTCTGTCAGTCTGGACTCTTGCTCACAAATGGTGTGCTTATATGCATGGCTAAGCTACAACTGCTTCTGCCAATTTTCTGCTCCAAATCTTTTGCTGGTTTTGGAGTCACTGTGCAAATGACCAGAAGAAACAGGTTTTTATTCCTTTCTGTCCGTTCATATGGAAGATGAGCTGTTGCAGAAGAGAACAGAGCGGTGCGTCGGTAAACTGGCCCACTTGTTACTGTCACCTCTTGGGCAGCCTATCAACGACTATAAACAGGAATCCTTGTGCTCCCCTCTGGGCCAGAAATGATCTTTCAGCAAATGTCGACTTGCTGACTAAGTTGAGCTTATGTCATTTGGTTTTTAAAGCATTAAAAAGTAAGATAAAGAACCCCTCCTGGTATTTCTTGAGTGGTCTCTAAAGCAACCTTGCTCTAAAGAGAAGGCGAGCTTTGTGAAAATCAGAAACTGTGTCAGCTGCCTGCGGGTGACTTTGTGGTGGCCTGTAGACTGCTTCTCATGCAGATTCATTTGTCAAAAAGGAGCTGCCCTCAGTCTGAGCTAAAGGACAGTGTGGGTGCAGACAGGGTAAGGCAGGGGTTCAGCTCAGGTGGGACCAGAGCTAACTCACTTCAGGTGCTACATCCAGCTTCTTTGAACATTTCTAGATTTTGTGCTGTGGTTTTGAGTGTTTGCATGAGATGAATTGTACAGCAATTCCTCATCTTCTGTGCGTGCTTTGTCTTACTCTGGAGTCTTTTCCTTTACTGATGCATATAATAAGAGTTTCAAGCCACTTGGAATAAAACCCATGACATTCAAATGCAGTTCTGGTGTTGTTCATGAGTGGCGAACTAGGAGACCTTCAAATCAATTTTCATTAAAATTCTCCACGCAGAGTCATTAACACAGTGGTCTTTCACCTGGAGTTGCTGCTTAATGAGGAGAAAAATGGAGGAAAAACTTCTTGTCGAAGCTCACAGCAAACCCATGCATTCAAAATAATTCTCTTTGGAAACATTTTAAACAGTATTTATTGCTTTGATGTTGCCTTCATCCTATTTTAATGCTTAATTAAAAATGAAACTCCAAGCATCTGAAATTATATTGTACCTTAAAGCTCAAATAGAGTAGTTTTGGTTTTAAGTATTTTTTTTTTTTTGCTCAGACAAAAGAAAAGAGAAGGTCAGGCTGTTTGATGTTGTGTCATACTAGAGGAATACACTGGCACTGATGTACGTGATGTTGGTTTTTCCATGAGAATACTGATGTGAATGAAGATTACTTAAGGGTGTGAAAGAGAAGGTCCACAAAAAGTCAGTAAAAGACATTATAATTATGGGTAGAATCTGCCATGGTTTCTCAGTGTATCAGCTCAGTTTAGCAGAGAGCTGGTGAGAGAGGACTGTGCTTCATTCCTTAAGGCTTTGTTAGGCCTGTGCTATGGGATTCCTCATCTGCACTGGATGTGATGAATGGCGAGGGCCTGGAGCAGCTGGGCTGGCTCTGAACTGCAGGCCTGTTCCTCACTAGCTGCTGCACACTCCTCATGCTCAGTGTCCACAGTCAATAGCAGGAAGAGACTTTGTTTCTCTCCTCACCTTGTTTTTACCTTCTCTCTTTCTTGCATTCTATGATTATGTGTCTGAATAGTTCTGTTTCCACGCAAGTATCCACCAGACTCCAATTCTGCAGTCATTGGAGGCCTCCAGGTGACACTTTAGCTGCCACAGCAGTTGCTCTAAGGGTGGGTGTTGCTGAAAGGAAGCAATGCTAACTGTGTCATTTACTTTTCCTGTGGGCAAAGCATGCAGTGCTGCTCTTCCAATCCTTAAACCGTGGATTTGACCTGGGTGGTACTCCAGGATCTCACCTGGTCCTTTGGATAATGGACAACTCTGGATGCTTTGCTGCTAGCAGATAACTTGTGCTTTGCTTTTCAGGGTATATGTTTTTTTCCCCTAAATATGCACAGGTATTTTCCAATGGCTCCAGTGTCAAGGTAAAAGTCAGTGCATGAATTGTTACTGCAGGAGTGAAAATGAGTGTCGAGAGGGGAGACTGCAAAAAACCAGTGAGCTCCATTTTCAGAGTGATGAATCCATGTTCCACCGACCTGGGAACAAAGTCCAGATGGTCCCATTCGAAGAGGGGCTTTAACAGAGGCTCTGTCACTGCCAGTGTATAACTGTGTATGTGCCACATCCTTAATTATAACATACCTGCTGTTTGAAGCTGCCTTTCTGTTCTGGGCTAAGTGTTACCTGAAAGTACTCACAGCTGTGAGGCAGAGGAGGGTGGTTCAGCTTTCTGACTGTGAAGGATGTTGTTTCTGCTGGTGAAATGATGAGGACACCTGTTCCCTGAAAAATGGATTGAAGCCTCTGCCTCTTTTCGTTCAGGGTGTTGGATAATGATCGTTGGTTGAGGCTGCAGGTCAATGTTGATGCAAACCAGGCTAAAGTCAATGAGTCATTACCAATCCCAGGAGAATGTGAGGCCCATTAGGAAGCATTATTTAAGCAGCCTCTCCTGCAGGATATAGCAGAACAGCAAATGCTCTGAGAATTCTCCATTGTTTTACTTGTTATAATTGTAAGTACTTGTTCAAGACTTGAACGCTGACCCTGTGGTCTCCAGTGTGTTCCTGGTGGACAGGGATGTGAGTATAAACAGGCACCAGAGCAGCTGGCACTAATAATCCTGCTTGGCAGTCCCTGCAGAGGAGAAGGAATGTGAATGAGCTGAGACACTGAACAGCTTTCTTCCTGGGGCTGGAGTGCCTCCTGGATGAGTTTCAGGTGTGCTGCTATGGCAGCTTCTTCTTTCTGGACCTGCAAACTGTCAAGTTCAAAGAAGCCCTGTTAGACATTGGTTTGAGTCACTCTTTTGGTGCTTGCTTGGACAGGATGCATGTTTGAGAGTGCAAGTAAATGCTTTACTGTAATTTGTCTTTTTGGCTGATTTGCAGCCCCTTGTTGCTGTTGTTGAGCCAAACAACTTTTAAGAACCTCAAAGTGTATATTTTTTTGGTTAATTCCATTTCTCATGAAGGATTAGGATGAGAGGACTAATGCATAGTTACATGCATGCACAGTACTAAAATAAATGGAGGAAAGCTTGGTGCAGGTAGAGGGTACATCTAAAAACGCACCAATAAGACTTGCAAATGACAAATTATCAAAATTTCTTAGAGCATCAGCAGTATAGCACTGGCAGATTGTCTCCGTCCTTTTTTATGTAATTGTAATATGCTTTTTAAACTTTTTTATTTTCTACCTTGCAGGGACCTGAGTTGATGAATAAATACGTTGGTGAGTCTGAACGAGCAGTGAGAGAGGTGAGGAAGGGCAGGCTATGGATAATGTTAGATGTTAAACTTTCTTGGCATTCAAATTCTTCTCTGCCCATAAGGTTAATTTTAAACTTTCTAAAAATCTCCTGGTGTAAGTTTCAAAAAGAGAAAGAAAATAGGAAAAGCAGGAGGGATATTTTATGTTGTTTAGCTTTCTTGAGCATTGGCCTAGTGATGCATGTCAAATTTGGGATCCAGTAGCAGCTGTCACTACCAGGCCTGCATTGCATAGTATCATGCATAGCTTTTAAACAATTTATTTAAAAAAAAAACACAAAACAAAACACCAAAACATGATAAGTCTGATGTCTGTTATGTGATGCTCTGTGGCTTTTGAGGCATGTAAGGGGTGATAGCATTCTGTCAACAGTTTCCATCCCTTAAAACAGGGTGTTTCGTTGTTGTTTTTCTAGATCTTCAGGAAAGCCAGAGCGGTGTCTCCTTCAATTCTTTTCTTTGATGAGATAGATGCCTTGGCAGTGGAAAGGGGAAAGTAAGTAATCCTGTTACAAAAATAACAGACATAATTTTCTGATAAATTAGTCCTACACTGTGCAATCACAAGTCTATTTACCCTTCTAGAATTATTTTATGAAATATATTCATTCCACATACGGAAGGGCAGCATGTGTGACTTTTACTCAAGTGTGTTTAACTTGGCATAAACAGGTAAGCTGGTGGAGTTCCTCCTTTCTCATCTCATCAGCAGGAATGATTCTTCTGCTTCTCATGCCCGTTGGCTCTTTTCTGTGGTTTTACCTTGCATTTATTTCCAGTAACTAACTCCTTTTTTTTCCCAGGATTGTTGCACTGGCCTAATTTGGTGTCTCCATCAAGCAAACAATATGATCATAAGCTGTGTAACACAAATTTCTAAGGAGACTACTCATATGCCTAAATTTACACTTACATTTAAACATTTTGCCAGACTGAGAAAAACTTCATGGAAAGATTTGGTAACACTTACATCCTTTCATGTGTGACATTAAGAAGGAATTACTGTGCAAACAGCTAATAGTATTTTCTTTAATATCCTGCTTTGTGATGATTGCAAGAGATGTTTAGCTTGTGTCTGAAGGAGGATTGTAACAGGTTTTAGTTGATACTACAGCATTTAAGATTTGACAGGCTCTGTAAGTGGAATATCTGCTTATAAATGCAACTGCTACTTGTTGTGAGCAAGTACTTTTATTCTGTTTTGTTTCGCATGACAAGCTACTGACTAGGTGCGTGGAGAAAGTATTTGGTCAATTTAAAGCCTCATCAAAATGTCAACATTTTTCTGGAAAACAAGCTCCCTCAGCATCCCTACATATTGCAAAAAGGACATTTGTATCTTCAGAAAAGGATAACAGGTGTCATTTCGACATTATTTGCGTTACAGGAGGCGGCATGACTTGTAGCGCAGAGCTGCCCTGTGAAACAGCTAAGAAATGAACGTACTTGCTGTTGAAAATGCAAAATCCGTGTGAAGATGTTTGCATCGGCATCCTTCTCACGTGCAGTGTGTGAAACTGTGGGATTTGTGAACTTCCTAGAAATGCTGTGCACTGAAACACCTTGCAACAAAAAGTTGCAAAAATGTGTGCTTGAATCAAGCCAATGGAGGGGAATCTTCCGCTGCTGCAGCTTTTAACTTGTTCAGCTTTCAGAAACACCACTTCATCAAGATAAAACCTTTGGGAGGAATAAGCCATAAAACATTTTAATCAGCCTTTTCACACAGTGCCCTCGAGGTGTTGAGTTTGTTTGTTTGTTTGCTTTATTCTCTTAGGGAGTAAACAGCCTAATGTTACCTTACCTGGAACTGTCTGTGGGGGGTAGTAGGCCTGGCACAGCTTGCTGAAGAATGTGGTATGACCTGCTGCAGCCGTGTTGTGCTGGAGACATCTGGTTTTGGAGCTTTAAAAAGAACAGGGTGGGACACACAAATATTTCATTGTCAAATCTGAACCAGATGGGAGGTAAAATATGTAGCAGAGTTCTCATAAAATTCATCTGAAATTAAATGGTGTAGGAAACCAGACAAGGCACTTATTAGAAATGGCCTTTTTTTACAGGCTGACTTTGCACAGTAGGAATTTGCAAATGCACTAGAGATGCTAATGATTTGTGGCCTCTGGAGATCCATTTCCTGTACTATTACTAACCATGCTGAAGTTTTCAAGGAAACACCTGTTTATATTGTCTCCCTATTCCCTCTGTTGGTTGAATTAGTTTTCTCTGCCTCGGCAGTGAAAAACACTCTGGGATACAGCTTTGTAAGAGCTTTTCCTCTCGGTTTATATCTCTGTTAGAATGCTGTGGGCTTTGTGCAGAATGTGCCACATCCCAGATCTCCTGGGTAGGCAGCCTCTCCTGATCCTACCAAGACATGTCCAGAGATACAGAGAAGCCAAAGAATAGTTTTATGAATAATGCCAATCTGAAATATAGATGCGAAATAACACTGAGTAATTGCTTAATACTTTTGCCCTTCCAAGCACTTTGCCAAGTATTCATTAACCCATAATTACTTGTTTAGATTTGTCTAAAGCTTGTGGATTTACAACACAAATGTTTTGCTCCCAATCTTTGGAGCTGATTGAACAATCCCTTCTAAGCAGCAGGCACGTATGAAGTAATAGACTTTGTGATTAATTAGTGTACAGGTAAATCAAGAAAGATAAGGAATTACCTTGTTTGCACCATTCAATATAACATCTCCTTTGCATCATTTAGTGGATTCTGTCACTGCACAAGCCATTACTCCATGGCAGACACTGTAGCTGCATTCACTTATGCCACAGTGTTTTATTTATTACACATTCCCAAGCCATAATGCCATAATTCCATAACTGTAATACATCTAGCACTCTACTTAATGCAACTGTCTTGTGTAGCAGTTTTGTTTTACAAAATGTATTTGTGTAGAACAAAAAAGTACTTTGAAGTCAGCAAAAATTATATTGGCATCGTTCAGTGTCAGAGTGTATTAGTTCTTAAAAGATTATTTCTTATCCAGCCTGCTTAGAAGTTCCATGTCTTTTATCAATATGAACTAAGCTCCTGGTTTTGTTTTTTTCTTGTCTGTCCACACTCCCCTCCCAATTTTGCATGTAGGCAGCAAACAATTACATATTAATCAAGGAATTAAAAATGTGGGCTGGATACATACCAGCCTCGAAGACAATTTATGAAACTATAATCCTGCACCTCGGAAGAAAAGTATTTCAGTGCAGAGAGCAATTGCTCAAGAGAAAAGTCTGGAGATCCTTGCTGCAAGAAGATGAGAGGGTGATTCTGAAAGGACTTGGGTTTCTAATGTGGTAGTGAAGGCAGATACTTTGAGCTGTATTAATTTCTGAATCTTGTTCTGTTACACTGAGCTTCTAGCACTCTTGGTAGAATTTTCCATCTCTTTCTGGTTTATGTTGAGACGTTAGAGGAAGTTTAGAGATAACTGAAAATGAAAAATTAGGGGCTGAATGGCCTGACTATAAGGAAAAAAAGAGGCATTCCCTCTAACGGGTTCTAAAGAACAGATGATAAACCTGCAGAATAAAGATGGGAGAAAGTTAGAGGTGTCACAGAGAGGTTTGAGTAGGAGAAATGATTGATATGGGGAAAATGTCTGTAAATCAGCAAGGCTTTTGGTAGAGCATTCTCCTTCCCTGTGAGTTAGTCATTTGGGAGAAGGTCCAGAACCTTCCACTTGACATCTTTAAAACAAACCTGACATTTCAGGGATCACTGTGCAGCGAGGAGCAGTCGGGCACTGTCAGAGGTGAACAACGTGACGCACGGAGCCTTTTCCACTGCTCCGTGGTTCTAATGAGCATTTGCTTCCACGAGCGGGTTATGGCTTTTTCCTTTCTTTCTCCATACTTTTGAAAGATGTTGTTATGACTTTTTGTAGGAGACACTGTGCTAAGGCAGGACTGGTCCAGATACAGCAGGAGAGTTTGCCTGGAAGTAATCCCTGGCCTGCACGAAAGCTTGAGAGGCTTTACAAATTGCACAGCTGCAGAGAGTTATGGGTATTTGTTATCCCTCGGTATTCCTGACCATGTAAAACCTAATTCTTCTAGCCATCAGAGGTTGCCAAGAGGGAAATGGCTTGGTAATTAGACTTGAAAGTGATGAATGAACGTGGGTCTGTGTAAATGCAGCACAGACAGTCTGTTTGCTGAACTTAAGAAATCTCTGTGCTTTGGAAATGGGACATTGTTTATATAAGTAGGATTTTTAGGATTTTTGGGCGAGAGACATATTTGTTCCTTTTCTTGTTTTTTCAGAAGCAAAGCATTTTCCCCTTTAACTGCAAGTCTTTGTAACGTAAGATGGGAAATGTTGTAGACTGCTGTAGAAGACACTGATAAATTCCATTTTCAAAGGGGAAAAAAAGAGAAAGACAGGGGACAGAATCAGTACCTTGCATTTGACTTCTGGAGGCCAAAACAATTTGGTAGATGAATGTTGCTAATGTTTCAGAGTGAGGGTAGAAGTGAGGGTAGAAGTGACAAAGTGAAGGGATATTGCTACCGGTCCCCTGAAACTACAACTTGATGATGCTTTTTTGGGAAAGTACTTTATCCTGTATGCTGAGGGGAGGATAGATAGATTCCTAAGCCACAATTTGAATTGCTCAGAAGCACTGAAAGATGTACTGTTTTCATTTTAGGTATTAAAATATTTGCAGTCTCAAATTTTGAGGCCCTCAGGCTTCTAAAGGAAGGTGTGAAGAACAGCAGCTTCTCTGCTGTCCTCTACTACCTCTGCTTTTAACAGAGACAGGGGTAAATCTTCTCTTTTTAAACCAAGCTGTCTTTCTGGAATATTTTAGCCCGTATTTATACTCTGCACTTGAACATACCCTTGCATTTTTGTATCTGTGCAAATTCCCTGGTGCACTGAGCAGCCTCTGTCATGAAGGAGGTCAGCGATTGCATCCAGTAAGGAAACCCGTGGGCTGGACCCTGCAGGGATGCAGCAAGGTGACCTTGGGTAGGATAGAGGTTGTTGGCAGAAATCCACCTTGCACAAGGTGAGTTATCAGTAGTCCCTGAATTGGGGAACGTCAGCTGATTCCCTGCAATATCTGAGCTGTGTCTGTGTGTGATGGAGAGCTGAGACATTTGAAACTTTTGCGACTGCTGTGTGAATTCTTCAAAGTTTTGGAATTTGGTATCGAAACAGAAATATTGTCTGGGAAAAACGTTGCATGTCCAGTGCCAGCTTTCTATTTTAGGCTTAGCAAGGAGTGGTGAAGAAGGAAAGTTTTGAAACAATTTGATTGTACAGCGAAGCTTGTATTTGTCTTTGGAATGGCAATTTTAACAAATGACATTACCCAGGCATTGTGTATATATACAATAAATTTCTGAAATCCCTTTAGTTTTGAAACAAACTCATTAACACTTCTTGTCTAGCAAGAATCTTTTGTCTCAATGTGTTCTAAATCTGTGTTTCTTCCTTTTTGTAACTTTGACAGCCTGTGTTATAATTTGGATG